CGGTGGTACAACATATCCATCCTCCTTTATTTCATGTGACGGAAGGTGGACGTGGCTAACGAAGACATCTAAGTAGTATTCGTGAATGATTTTCTCTATTACCTTTCTGGACACTGTAACTGTTCCGTCTGGGTGCCAGAGAGCAATCATTTTGGTCTTGTAATTGGCGAGGCTTCGGTGGGCTTTGCGAATGCTTTTCTCAGCCTCTAAAGCTTCGACCATTACTGCTGCTCTTCTCTCTTTAAGGTCTTCTTTTATCGCCTGTCTGCATTGTTTTGTAAGTTCGGACGTAAGTTCGCGGTTGCTTGCAGTTCGTGCGATTCCAACTGGCGTATCAGCTCGAGTGTTTCTGGAGACAAACGCCTCATGGTGACTTTCGAACTCTCAGTTTTTCATAGCCTTAATGTGAAGATGTTGAAAGAACCGATCGTATTCTTCGTCGATGTTGTCGACAACGGCATCTTCCCAACAACGTACTATTGAATTGAAGAAGTCCCAGTTTGCGGTGGTTCTGCAACTTCGGTTTTTGAATTTAGCGGCTTTTTCTCCTTCTCGCGAGAAACAGAGTCTTGCACGAAGGAGGCGATGGTCGGATCCCGCGTGAAAGTTCGGGACAACAGCGACATCGGTTAGGCAAAACCTTCTATTTACTATGATGTGGCCAATGTCGTTATGGTGCTCTTCATTGGAAGACTCCCACGTCCAGCGTTGAGGGTGGGGCTTCAGGAATTGCGAGTTACCATGGTCTTGGTCGCCATGATAAACTCAGACAGCTGCTTGTCCTGTTCGTTCCATTTTAATCCAAGGGTCTCAGTGTGACGTTCTTCAGACGTTCTTCTTGGCCCAATCTTGGCATTGAAATCTCCAATGATGACCTTGAAGAATGTGTGGCCTTCTCGGTAGAACTTCTCCAAGTCCATCTAGAACGCTTCGACTTCTTCTTCGTCATAGCTTGATGTCGGCGCGTAAACGACAAAGATTGTCAAAACCGGAACTGATCCACGTCTTTTTAACCGTAAACGTCCAATTCGGGTTGTAAGTTGTTCAAATGAATCGATGTTCATGGACAAACTGGTGTTAACGAGAACGCCAACGTCGCCGACTCCTCTACTGTCAGATGTTCCGATTGTTCTCCGGTGCCATTGAAATGACACGTTGAAATGCTGGCGTCTTTTCGTCTTGGCCAGGCCGATGGTGTCGTACTTTATCCTTCTTGCTTGCATAAGCAAGTCTTCTATCGAGGACTTGGATGCAAGTGTACGTGCATCGTAGGAACAGATCGTCACCATAGTTCTTTCAAATCCAGGCAGTTTCCATTGGCCCTGAGATTTTAGCAGCCTCTCCGTACTCGTCCCATCCAACGCTGCCGAATTGGGGGCTCTTTCGGGGTCAGGGGAATGAGATTCGCCTTTTTTTTTTCTACTGTGTTTAGCATTGTTGATACCCATGTATAGCTTGTTCGGCTCTGAACGTGGAGGATTAATCTGGGGGACTCAAATCGGCAGCTGTTATCGGTCTTGTTTTATAATAGTTCCTAGGATTGACTTTCTATTAACCTCGGCGTTGGATTATAAATTCGTCGTTTTCTCTCTCAGTAATCGCGAGGTTTTTAAACAGCATACGTTTACTTCCATACAATAACATACATACAACAAAACCGTAGCTGACGTTTCGGCAGTATCCCTTCTTCAGAGTCTGGAAGGGCATACTGGTATACAATCTACTAGGCCAAACGCTTCAATAACACTTACAAAAAGACGAAAAACTCTATGGTAATTACATGATCAACAACTTTTGAAGAACTCACCGCTTTTTACGTGACTTCCAACGAGGAAGATTAGAACAGCTGATTATAGTCGCATATGGTTGATGACTGCACCATCCCACATCAGAAATTGATGCGACATACGGGGCCAGGTCGCGTGTGACCTCTGGGCATTCCTATCTGCTATTCATTGTAGGATCTTTGGCATTTATCCAAAAAACATCAAGAAGCTTGCGCGCTGGTGCTTCGGTATCCTGTGCGAGGATAGTGACTTTAACATCAACATCGTCTCCGCTATGCTTTTGTATCCTTTGCGTCCCTAGTGGGGACTTAGTCTCGCTTTTCGTTTGCCATCTAGGTGTCCTTTTATGCGGATACCTAAAGGTCTGCCCGTTTTGCCAATATATTCGTCTCCACAAATACTACAAGGGATCAGGTATACCGTACTCATGCAATCACCTACTAAAAGAGCAAATTACCCAATTTTCTGTTCCACATAGACGGTCATATAGGCGGTTAAGAACTAATTGACGACGAAGAGTATCAGGTGGAATTTCTACTATCGCAACCGATTCCTCTAGACCTGCCCTTCACAAGCATCGTTTTATAGCTATGCTTACTTCATTGCTAATAAAAGGCAACATAAACGGGACTTTCTTTTGGCTAAGTGTTTGGTTTTGGTGCGTCGCTCTCCTTTTAAACTTATCTCCTCGGTTTACTATTTTGTAGCCATTGGAGGTGTCTACTTGCCGAGCTAGGTCGCGCCATTCCTCCTTCAGTTCTCTTTTCTTGGACACGGAGGTCGCTGTTCGAAACATGTTTCTTACAATCGCCTTCTTTGTGTATGAAGGATGGGAAGAGAGGAAATGAACGAGGGAGTGTTTCTTACTTGGTTTTCAGCACCACTTTGTCATGTAACTGCTACTTGATAAGTTGATTTGAACGTTAAGAAATGGAAGCCATTTCTCTTTCGGTTTCTCCCTGGCGAACTTGATGTACTCAGACTGCTCATTCAATAACTCAAAGCATTTGTCCATTTCCTCTTGGGTAGAGAAAATGACAAAACATCTGTGTGTCTGCAGTAGGGTAGCGGACGGAGATCGATAACGGGGGCTCGCGATGGTAAGACTTGCTGCGAACCGCTGTCCCATTGCCAACCCTCTCATTTGCGCGTAATATTTCCCAGACCGTCTGAAGATCTCTTTTAAGAGAGCCATAAGCTGCTGAATAGACAAGCCATACATATTCCTTCATTTCTCTTTAGTCCTCCTTCATGCTAAACAAGAAGTTCGTGGATGGTTTGCATTGCGGAGTCATTCGACACTTTGGTGTAGACCGCGGAAACATCGAAAGACTCCATTACGCACGCATTTTAGGAGACGCGTTACGTAGAGGTTCTAGGAACATTTGGGTGTTCATGAGGTTAGCTTGGATGTGGTCAAGCAGCTGGGTTAGCATTAGATCTAGAAACCATATTATTCTATCCTATGGTCCGTCTACGCAGCTCATGATGGGTCTAGCCTTGAAGGACGTTGACGCAAGATCATCAGCTGATAATAACTTATGTGTTTTAATAAGTAAGTATAAGACGGGACATGTTAGTCGATCTATTTTATAATTCGAAATAACAGGTGATTTTAAGCACGCCGCCTTTGCCAATTTGACCCATTCGTTGTTAAGTTTTCGGTATTGTCTTTTGTATTCCTTTTCAGATGAATGAGCTAAGATGTTCCTCCGTTATCTTAACATCTAACTGCCGAGGAATAACTGCAAACTCTCCACGCTTATCACTAACTGATAGTCTAGTGGTCTTTAAATTAATTAAACCTCTAATTTCTCGCAGACCACATTTTGTGCGGCTGTAAGGTTAGAGACAAGCTTTCTACCGTGATAATGATTTGGGGTTTCGAGAATGTCCTCCGAAAACATGCGGAATTTCACATCAACTGCCACGTTAGGGTCTTGATGTCTAAAAAAGGAGACGGTGGTAGTCTCGCCACTTCTTGACTTTCTTTCTTATTCAATATTTCCTCCATGACTCGACAGCGGAGTCGATCTTGAAGCTCATACAAATTGCATGCGATCCTACGCACGGTTGCCTTAGAAATGGGTTGTGATGGTGCAAAGCTTGGGCCCAATTCTAATAGTGAGCGCGCGCTCTCGGGTGTAGTCATACCCCCAATTATTGTGACCCTGGATTTTGTTGGCGCATTGTCAACCGTATTTTTTACTGTTATCAGAAGCACAAATAATTCTTTTATGGTTTCTTGAAGCCGAAATGTGTGAGTTAGTTAAAAGATTCTTGAACTTTCGTTATAGATTTATTTTGGCATTAGACCTAATATTATTGCATATCAATATTGATCCACTAACTATTTTCGTCCAATGGTGATCCTCCAAATACAAAGCACAAAAATGTTCCTTCGACAAACACTTCTTCATTCTGACGCACATTTTGTTCCGCTTGCTTCGTAGTGCAGCTCTAAGTAGGTTCATTTCGATGCCTCGTACTTATTGGCTGTCCTCTAGTTGACCGCATATCTCGTGAAGTCGCTTTCGTTTTATAACATTCGGCACGACTCGATGTTGTAAACAGCGGCGGAGGAAGTTGACTTGTTGTCTGCCTAAGATAATCTTTCGTCCTAATGGCAAGGCCTCTTTCACAAATCGGGTCTTATTTTGTTTCAATAGTTTCATCCTGGTAGTCTCTTCCTTTGTTTCCATAGGGTGTAACCTTTCTTTGTTTTCTCAATGGCGACAAAACAAATTATAAAAAATAAGGCGTAAAAAATTTCAGATTAGATTGAGAGTGCTGAAAAATTCGCAACGGAACGTGAGAAGTTTTTCGATAGATGAGACAAATTGCCTCTTAAGAATTTACGCGAAAGCTTCAAAGAGTTTGTCAAGAGGAATCAGGAAGAAAGGAACAATCATCGTAAAAAGTGTTAAGAGGGAACAATGTAGGACAGAAATCAGTCCTGAAGAATCGACCGATTCACAGATTACTCATCACTTTGGTTCTAACAGTTCGTGTGATAATGTTCTAATCAGAGTAAATGACGATCCTTCCTCCACTGTTTTTTTTTTCTTTCGGAAGAGTCATTACTTTATTTTATATGGCAAAGATGATGTGGTACGATAATGAACTGAAATACAGTGATTTCGACATGATGATAGTGCTGTTGTTGCTATTGAAGAGGGAATTAATGAGTAGATTAAAGGGCTACGGTTCCAGGTTCAAAGATGGTGTTACAATAACGAAATACTTCAACGTTGACGCGACTTATCTTAAACATGAGTACCAAGCTGCTGCGGCTGATTATCGCGTAAGCTGGTCATGTTTTTTTGCTTTGAAATCTTTGAAGAAATGAAAGCAGCAATCAAAAACTTATTAATTTTATACATATGTCATAGAAAAAGAGACGGATTCAGTGGTCAATGAGAGAGACAGAAGAAAGAGAGAGAAAGAGATACAAAGAAACAGAGAGGGAGAGATGTTAAGAGAATCACCAAAGAATCTGTGCGTTCTTGGATATGACATGGATTATTAGTTCCATGATTTTGAAGAAATAAAGAGAGACACAGACTTAATGAAGGAAGCAAAAGTAGAGAGCCAGAGGCAAAGGTAGACGGAGAGAGAGTGCCGTCGAAGAATATGCATTCTTGGAGTAGATTTACAGTATTATTTTAGTGATTCTTTTAAAGAAACTGCTGTCTAAACTTTGTATTTTTTTTAAACTTTGTAAAGCGTATACATATCGCTCAATCTAACACAATGTATTCGACTCCAGATATAGCTCAAGTAATCAAGTATCCCTTTCTCTTCTTTCGCTTTAAAACAAATCTTGTAACTTGCGATCCTTCCTGGAAAAAATTGAGCACTTTGGAATGGGCCATTCATAACTGAAGGTGCATCTACTGGTCATTCGTTAAAATTCTCAACCAAATACATAAATCTTCGTCATTCATCCTTCTTGTTGCAGCACCTACAAGTCGCACTGGGGCGACGATTTCGTGCACTTAAAATCTGGTTTGTCTTGCGCAAACTTGGAGTTGTATATATTCAAAATCTGTTGAGAAAAGTGGGTTTTTGATCTGCTCATAATACGGTGTGTATTTGTCGCCTTTTTACCTTAATCGCTCCATAGACTAATCGCAGGAAGGAATCACTACCTGCGATTAGTCTATGGAGCGGAAACTATTTGGATTGGAGACCAAAAAACATTCTAACACGGCCGATGAACAGCGAATCTCCCTCTTATCCAAAAAAAAGAACGATTGCCTGTGATCAAGACCAAAACATCACCTGGCGTGACTCCATATTTGAGGGAAAATCACGTTTTACCTGCACTCGCCGTGTGAAACCATACCAGTAAGGAAAGGTGCCAAATTCTCAATCCGCAACCGAACTCATGCACGGAGTCGCCCCTGTCTACTGATGTCAGTGATGGGTTAATGAAACGAAAAGGAGAATTGCTGGAGGACGGAAATCTTCCGAAGAAAAGCCATTTACGCTAAACAGCGGAACATACTAAAGTAAGGTGCCATTCTCAATTCTGTTACAGAAATAGCTGTCACGAATTCGAGTCGTAACGCAGCAAGTCTATCTCTACTTCAAAGAAATTCGGCAATTGTTAACTCTTTTATTTACTGCCTTTTTCTTCTTAATGGCAGGTTATGTTGCGAAATATAACTCGTATGAAATGCTGAGATATTTGTAAAACTCCGGACCACAGGTGTATGCAATGGAGAACGAACACGCCCTGTTGTCCTTACCGGGGAGCAGCGCACTTCACCACT